CATTTGCGACCCTTTAAAAATTAGGGTCGCAATGGCATTTCAAAAGGTCGCATATGCGACCATTTTGGTCGCAGTGTAGTTCCCTGGTAGGTCAGCACGTTACAGTACAAATGTGCGCATCTACCACAAACGCAGGACATCAGTTCTGACTGGATCTCTTCCTAAATCGTCACTATCTAGCATTTTTGTCTATTTTTTATTCATTGAATATCCATTGTTTAACCAGCGCAACATATTTGCCATGTCATTAAGCCATTTGATAGATGTACCGCGGAACAAGTCTCCGGGTGAGTAGCCGGCCAGTGATAGTAACTATAGTAACAGCGTGAGAAGACGCGCTCCGTTGTAGTCAGCGCTTGGTCAGTTAATTTTGCCATTTGGCAGAAGTAAGTTAGCCTAATAGGCTAGTAATAAATGAACACACATACAAAAATGTTTTTCGTCCTGTAGGCGTCCTGGAAAATATTTCTGTTCGCCCTAAACACATTTTCTATCGTCCGCAGGACGCCGTTAGTCTCGAGCCCTGTCAGGTGTAGCGTAACTGTCAGGTGTAGCGTAACCGTCTGTCAGGTGTAGCGTAACCGTCTGTCAGGTGTAGCGTAACCGTCTGTCAGGTGTAGCGTAACCGTCTGTCAGGTGTAGCGTAACCGTCTGTCAGGTGTAGAGTAACCGTCTGTCAGGTGTAGCGTGTCTGTCAAGTGTAGCGTAACCGTCTGTCAAGTGTAGCGTAACCGTCTGTCAGGTGTAGCGTAACCGTCTGTCAGGTGTAGCGTAACCGTCTGTCAGGTGTAGTGTAACTGTCTGTCAGGTGTAGCGTAACCGTCTGTCAGGTGTAGCGTAACCGTTTGTCAGGTGTAGCGTAACTGTCTGTCAGGTGTGGAGTAACTCTGTCAGGTGTGGAGTAACCGTCTGTCAGGTGTAGCGTAACCGTCTGTCAGGTGTAGCGTAACTGTCTGTCAGGTGTAGCGTAACCGTCTGTCAGGTGTAGCGTAACCGTCTGTCAGGTGTAGCGTAACTGTCTGTCAGGTGTAGCGTAACCGTCTGTCAGGTGTAGCGTAACTCTGTCAGGTGTGGAGTAACCGTCTGTCAGGTGTAGCGTAACTCTGTCAGGTGTAGCGTAACTCTCTGTCAGGTGTAGCGTAACCGTCTGTCAGGTGTAGCGTAACCGTCTGTCAGGTGTAGCGTAACTCTGTCAGGTGTGGAGTAAGTCAAGTCAAGTCACATTTATTTATATAGCGCTTTTCACAATACAGATTGCATCAAAGCAGCTTCACAGTGATAACATGAAAGTAGTACAACACAGTTCAATAATATTGTTGAATATTAAATATCCCCAACTAAGCAAGCCAAAAGCAAGGCGACAGTGGCAAGGAACCAAAACTCCATCAGATTGGATGGAGAAAAAAACCTTGGGAGAACCCAGGCTAGTAACCGTCTGTCAGGTGTAGCGTAACCGTCTGTCAGGTGTAGCGTAACTCTCTGTCAGGTGTAGCGTAACTGTCTGTCAGGTGTAGCGTAACCGTCTGTCAGGTGTAGCGTAACCGTCTGTCAGGTGTAGCGTAACCGTCTGTCAGGTGTAGCGTAACTGTCTGTCAGGTGTAGCGTAACCGTCTGTCAGGTGTAGCGTAACCGTCTGTCAGGTGTAGCGTAACTCTGTCAGGTGTGGAGTAACCGTCTGTCAGGTGTAGCGTAACCGTCTGTCAGGTGTAGCGTAACTCTCTGTCAGGTGTAGCGTAACCGTCTGTCAGGTGTAGCGTAACCGTCTGTCAGGTGTAGCGTAACCGTCTGTCAGGTGTAGCGTAACTGTCTGTCAGGTGTAGCGTAACTGTCTGTCAGGTGTAGCGTAACTCTCTGTCAGGTGTAGCGTAACTGTCTGTCAGGTGTAGCGTAACTGTCTGTCAGGTGTAGCGTAACTGTCTGTCAGGTGTAGCGTAACTGTCTGTCAGGTGTAGCGTAACTGTCTGTCAGGTGTAGCGTAACCGTCTGTCAGGTGTAGCGTAACCGTCTGTCAGGTGTAGCGTAACCGTCTGTCAGGTGTAGCGTAACTGTCTGTCAGGTGTAGCGTAACTGTCTGTCAGGTGTAGCGTAACCGTCTGTCAGGTGTAGAGTAACCGTCTGTCAGGTGTAGCGTAACCGTCTGTCAGGTGTAGAGTAACCGTCTGTCAGGTGTAGCGTAACCGTCTGTCAGGTGTAGCGTAACTCTCTGTCAGGTGTAGCGTAACTGTCTGTCAGGTGTAGCGTAACTGTCTGTCAGGTGTAGCGTAACCGTCTGTCAGGTGTAGCGTAACTGTCTGTCAGGTGTAGCGTAACTGTCTGTCAGGTGTAGCGTAACCGTCTGTCAGGTGTAGCGTAACTGTCTGTCAGGTGTAGCGGAACCGTCTGTCAGGTGTAGCGTAACCGTCTGTCAGGTGTAGCGTAACTCTGTCAGGTGTGGAGTAACCGTCTGTCAGGTGTAGCGTAACTCTGTCAGGTGTAGCGTAACGCTCTGTCAGGTGTAGCGTAACCGTCTGTCAGGTGTAGCGTAACTCTGTCAGGTGTAGCGTAACTGTCTGTCAGGTGTAGCGTAACTGTCTGTCAGGTGTAGCGTAACCGTCTGTCAGGTGTAGCGTAACTGTCTGTCAGGTGTAGCGTAACTGTCTGTCAGGTGTAGCGTAACTGTCTGTCAGGTGTAGCGTAACTGTCTGTCAGGTATAGCGTAACTGTCTGTCAGGTGTAGCGTAACCGTCTGTCAGGTGTAGCGTAACTCTGTCAGGTGTGGAGTTACCGTCTGTCAGGTGTAGCGTAACTGTCTGTCAGGTGTAGCGTAACTGTCTGTCAGGTGTAGCGTAACTGTCTGTCAGGTGTAGCGTAACTGTCTGTCAGGTGTAGCGTAACTGTCTGTCAGGTGTAGCGTAACTGTCTGTCAGGTGTAGCGTAACCGTCTGTCAGGTGTAGCGTAACCGTCTGTCAGGTGTAGCGTAACTGTCTGTCAGGTGTAGCGTAACCGTCTGTCAGGTGTAGCGTAACCGTCTGTCAGGTGTAGCGTAACTCTGTCAGGTGTGGAGTAACCGTCTGTCAGGTGTAGCGTAACCGTCTGTCAGGTGTAGCGTAACTGTCTGTCAGGTGTAGCGTAACCGTCTGTCAGGTGTAGCGTAACCGTCTGTCAGGTGTAGCGTAACTGTCTGTCAGGTGTAGCGTAACCGTCTGTCAGGTGTAGCGTAACCGTCTGTCAGGTGTAGTGTAACTCTGTCAGGTGTGGAGTAACCGTCTGTCAGGTGTAGCGTAACCGTCTGTCAGGTGTAGCGTAACCGTCTGTCAGGTGTAGCGTAACTCTCTGTCAGGTGTAGCGTAACTGTCTGTCAGGTGTAGCGTAACTGTCTGTCAGGTGTAGCGTAACCGTCTGTCAGGTGTAGCGTAACTGTCTGTCAGGTGTAGCGTAACTGTCTGTCAGGTGTAGCGTAACTGTCTGTCAGGTGTAGCGTAACTGTCTGTCAGGTGTAGCGTAACTGTCTGTCAGGTGTAGCGTAACCGTCTGTCAGGTGTAGCGTAACTCTGTCAGGTGTGGAGTAACCGTCTGTCAGGTGTAGCGTAACTGTCTGTCAGGTGTAGCGTAACTGTCTGTCAGGTGTAGCGTAACTGTCTGTCAGGTGTAGCGTAACTGTCTGTCAGGTGTAGCGTAACTGTCTGTCAGGTGTGGAGTAACCGTCTGTCAGGTGTAGCGTAACTGTCTGTCAGGTGTAGCGTAACTGTCTGTCAGGTGTAGCGTAACTGTCTGTCAGGTGTAGCGTAACTGTCTGTCAGGTGTAGCGTAACTGTCTGTCAGGTGTAGCGTAACCGTCTGTCAGGTGTAGCGTAACCGTCTGTCAGGTGTAGCGTAACTCTGTCAGGTGTGGAGTAACCGTCTGTCAGGTGTAGCGTAACTGTCTGTCAGGTGTAGCGTAACTGTCTGTCAGGTGTAGCGTAACTGTCTGTCAGGTGTAGCGTAACTGTCTGTCAGGTGTAGCGTAACTGTCTGTCAGGTGTAGCGTAACCGTCTGTCAGGTGTAGCGTAACTCTGTCAGGTGTGGAGTAACCGTCTGTCAGGTGTAGCGTAACTGTCTGTCAGGTGTAGCGTAACTGTCTGTCAGGTGTAGCGTAACTGTCTGTCAGGTGTAGCGTAACCGTCTGTCAGGTGTAGCGTAACCGTCTGTCAGGTGTAGCGTAACTCTGTCAGGTGTGGAGTAACCGTCTGTCAGGTGTAGCGTAACTGTCTGTCAGGTGTAGCGTAACTGTCTGTCAGGTGTAGCGTAACTGTCTGTCAGGTGTAGCGTAACCGTCTGTCAGGTGTAGCGTAACTGTCTGTCAGGTGTAGCGTAACTGTCTGTCAGGTGTAGCGTAACTGTCTGTCAGGTGTAGCGTAACTGTCTGTCAGGTGTAGCGTAACTGTCTGTCAGGTGTAGCGTAACCGTCTGTCAGGTGCATGTTTATGCATGTTTTTGTTTCCCTAGTGTTTTGAGTGTCATCAATAGATGTGTTATCACAGACACAACACAAACACGCAGACAGACCCATGAGATCGGATGTTTGAGAATCATCTCATTAGAAACAGCATCTGCTCCTCCTCCGTTTGTAGCATTAATAGAAACATGACCTCCATAAAACGGTTGTACACACACACACACACACACACACACACACACACACACACAGCAATGTTTGTTCAAGCACAGATGAGTCAGTCCTGTAGGCATTAGTAGCCTGCACATGGAGTGATGTCATCAATCCCATAATGCACTGCTCACTTCACATTCCCCTGGTCACATGACCTTACACAGCTCTTCAGTGGTGCTTCATTATTCATTAAAGAGAACACAATAATTATGTCAAAACATTTCATACCAATTGTTTTTCTGCTGTGTCTTCACAGTTTGAGTTTCTTTTGCTCAATTATACTTAATGGTGCTTTGGATATTTTTATTGACTTATTATACAAATAACATAGAAACCATGACCGATGAGAGTGTGTTGTGTGGTGTGTTCAG